TAGATCATTTATAAATTTGGAGAATATATTGTGGTTGGGAACATTTTCTAATAATTTCTTTTCTTTTGTTAAAAGCAATCATCAATTATTTCTTTTCTTTTGGGAACATTTCCTAATAAATTCTAATAATTTCCTTTTTCAGGGCATGGATAGTGACTACACACAGCTACTTGTAAAATTTGAAAAGAAAAGAAAAAAAAGAAATAATATTTATCCAATTGACTATTGACTAGTTGAGTTGAGTCGAGTCGAGTCGAGCTGTCGACATATTTTAATTTTCATAAAGATGATAAAGATGCATTGAAAAGTTAAAACATCTTTTGATATGAACTATATACACCTAATTACTCTGCAATAAAAACTAAGAAGGATTGAAGAAAGAATAATCAAAGAGCAAAAATATATGGTACAAAAAGTCTTCTTTGAAAACCTTTCTCAATACTCACTCACTCCATCTATAAGGAACTCTCCATCTTTTATGCCAATATATTGACACCCTAGACCACAATGGGAACCCAAAATTGTACTCCAGAGGCTGATCTGAGGCTCCTCCTACGATTAAAGGTAACCATACATACCTGGAGTCCCTCAGATCAGCTGGATTCCAACGATCGGCCATAAAAATAAAGGAACCAGGGAGGTCGGGCAAAGGAAGCACGAATGTACTTTGAGCGAAGAACGTTGTTTGTCGAAATATCTTGTTTCCACCAATGCACGGGTTTCCCATGGTCTCCCACGGGCCCATAACGGACTCGGCAGCATGAGCGAGAGCCTCATTCGGGGCCCAACCAGTGCAGCCGGACGTGATCATGTAATATGTTCCCCGGTGTTTGAAAAGAGCCGGGGCTTCCCGGTGTTGTCCAACGAGTACCTTACTGACGACACTAGCCACATCGAGATAGTCTTCATTAAGCGGACCAATATGAAGCTCACTGTTATCCTCGGACGAGTAGATGAGATAGGCTACACCATCATCATCTTTAAAGATCGTCATGTCTCTACTATCAAACCCGTGTGGCCGTTTACTGTAGAGATAATCAAAAGGACCAGTTGGGTAATCACTGACAGCAACACCTACCGAGGCTTTAGTGTAGTTAACGTCGTCAATATGCATCCACATTACGTATTTCCCAGTCTTGTCATTGTAAATAACTTTGGGTCTCTCGAGAACATTGGACTTGTGTAGGTCGTGAGTCTCGTTATTCTCTTCTGCTGCTAGCACGATACCTTCACTTTTCCACATCCATAAATCCTTCGAAGAATAACATCCAACGCCAATGATATCAACCTGTAAGGTAAAGACGAGTTAAGCAGCACCTAAGAGATGATCTCAATATTCTTTTTGAGTCAGTACCGAGCACGAGCAATGGACAGGAAATGGGATTGTTAGAAAATGCTAGTATCTTAACCCCCAAGGGATTTCAAAGCAACAAAATGCTGAACCATGTAATGGATAGCCATAGACAGACATATATCAGTATATCTAACACAAATTTCGAAAAGTTTGATCCATATTCTTTATTTTGACGAGGTCATTCAAATATACAAAATTTTCGTGTCTAGGTATAAATTATATGCAAGATAATGACTAGCACAAGAATTCAAACGTAATGATTCCACTGGCTGTAAAGTAGAGAGAATCGCACTGAGAAACTCTAATTTGTCGAGTATGTGTTAGTCATCCCGGCCTAGTGAGTCCTTTCTTCCGTGTCTAACCTGCTGCTAATACAATAATCCTATGCACTTGGGAAGGATGTCATATATATAATATAACCTAAAACCTTATTTGCAGGTAATTAAGGAGCACAATGATGTCAATTTCACTTCCATATCCTAAACATCTCTCTAGGAAGGCATCACAGCTAAAATCAAGTCAATTGAACTTCTCGGATTAGTGCAGAATCTTCACTTGAAAAGCAACTTACATAAATCAACTGGATAATCATGTTGCAGTGTTCAAATCATTTATTCCAAGTAACGTAAAAGGATTTTTAGAAAGTCTTTACTCAGGCTTTGGACCTACATATTTGATTTAATCCCAAGCCTCAAGGCTCCCAAGATTGGCTGATTTAGAAACTGTCTAGTAGTTCCGGGTGAATACCCTTATTAATGACTTAGGCACACTCAGTTCTGGAAAAAAAAAAAATAAATAAATAAAAAAA